TAGGGTTTAGGGGTTAAGGGTTTAGGGTGGTTTAAGGGTTAGGGTTTAATAATTTAATGTAGGGGCCTCAATAATCAGAATAGGGCTTGGGGGTATGTTGTACTATAATTAGAATAAGGAACTCCCAAAATAGTATAGGTAATCATTAAGGCACCCTTTTTTTAGGCTTTCAGATTTCTGGGGTTGACATCTGCAGGGTGGGAGATTGTAAGGTCTCGAGACTTTGGGGCTTTGGGACCTACTGCTACAGGGTGTTACTGTAAGGGCCTTAATGATTAGAATAGGGTTTTGGGGCTCCTTAATATTATAACTATACTAGAGGACCCGAAGGAACAAAAGTGTGAGTAATTGTTGAGGCTCCTATATTACACATGAGATCTTTCAAGCTTCGAGAACTGAAGTTTCAGTCACAAGGGTTTGGGGTTTGGGGTGTAGGGTGGAGAGGTTACCCGAAAGGTTCAAGTACTTATAAATCATGTGCTCTTCTGAATACCAACCTACAAAACTACTATCCGCAACCCAAGTACATGGTTATTCGGTCCGACACCCTAAACCCTAAACCCTAAACCCTAAACCCCAAATCCTAAACCCCAAACCCTAAAACCTAAACCCTAAACCCTAAACCTGAACCCTCTGAACCCTAAACCTGAAACCTCTGAACCCTTAGGGCTTCGGTGCTCTGCCTCGTGCACGGCCACGATGATCTCCCCCGTGTCGTTGCCCGGGTACTTCAACTTGCAGGCCTGCAGGGCGTGGACAGTTTTCTACTGGTTCGTTAGGGTTTAGGGTTTAGGGTTTAGGGTTTAGGGTTTAGGGTTGTGGGGCCATGTTTAAAATCATCATCTTTTAATCATTTAATCCTTATTGGGTTGTATTATCAAAAATGCAAAATTGTAGCCAACAAGGGCCCAGTCTAGATCAGGGCCATAAACCCTCAACAATAAACCCAATAAGAGCCTTATAGAACCTCGAACAAGTTAGTAGGGTCGTTCTTCCAACAGTCATCTACTACTTCAGAGATCAAGAAGCTAAGCCCCAAACTGGGTGCATGGCCGCAAAAGTTGCCCTAAACCCTAAACCCCTGAACCCTAAACCCTAAACCCGCAACCCTAAACCCCTGA